GATATATATATATATATATGTGTGTGTATATATATATATATAGAGAGAGAGAGAGAGAGGTTACCTGACCGAACGTTCCGGCGTTCGGGGTCCTGTTCGGGGGCCGAACACCTCCAGGTTTGGCCCCCGCCAAAAACTATTTGGGGGCCTAAAAATAAGTTTTGTTTTCGGAATTGTTTTTTATGAGTTCTCTATGATGTAGCCTACACGCCAATAAATGTTGAGACCATTCTGCTAAGCCAGAAAAACATTAAAAATCGTCAAAGATGGGGGTGTCAAAACGTGCTCGCCCACTCACTATTTTGTTTTTTTTTACTTTTAACTTTTATTTTCACTTTATTTCGGGGCCTAAAAAATTTTATTATTTTTTAAAAAACATTTAATGAGTTATTGATTATGTAAACTACATATCTGTAAATTTTCAGGGTATTTGTCAATGCCAAAACATAATTAAAAATCGGCAAAGATGGCGGTGTGGAAAAGGTGCTAGGACACTCACTCATTTTAATTCTCTTTTCATTTTTATTTTTTTTTATCATAATGTTTATTTTCTGTATTTGATTTTCAATTCTTATTTGGTAAAGAATTTGGATATAGTGCCCAGGCAAATGTTATTTAGTTTATTTTTCTCCATTACAAACAATGTTATAGAGACAAATAAACTAAACAACATTTGCCTGGGCACTACATCCAAATTCTTTACCAAATGTAAATTAAAAATCCAATACCGAAAATAAACACTATGATAAAAATAAGAAAAAATAAAAAAGAGAATTAAAATGAGTGAGTGTGCCAGCACCTTTTCGACACCGCCATCTTTGCCGATTTTAATTATTTTTTGGCATTAACAAATGCCCTGAAACTTGACAAAGATGTAGTTTACATAATCAATAACTCATTTAAAAAAAATTAAAAAATACTAAAATTGTTTAGGCCCCGAAATAGAGTGAAAACAAAAAGTTAAAAGTGAAGAAAAACAAAATAGTGAGTGGGCAAGCACGTTTTGACACCCCCATCTTTGAGGATTCTTAATGTTTTTTAGGCTTAGCAGAATGGCGTTAAACTTCATAGGCTTGTTGGTTACATCTTAGAGAACTCACAAAAATAAAATTCAGAAAAAATATATATATTTTTAGGCCCTGAAATATGTATCTCGGCCCGTTCCGAACGCCGGTTACCCTGTATATATATATATATATATATATCGTCACAAACAGAACTGCCCGGTAAACCGTAGGCAGAGAGAGAGAAGAGGACAACAAACGAGGGGTTGTGACAAACTGTTTCGTCGGAGTTT